TAATACCGGATCTATATAATTATATAACTCTATATAATTAGCTAATTATAAAAAAGCCCTAAAGCCCGAAACTTATAAAGAGTCTTAAGGGCTTTAGGGCTTCCGAACTATTACTAGTATCCGGTATTTTTTAGGAAAAAAGTATAATATATTTTATAATAAATAATCTATTATAGACTATTTAATCTTTAAATTAAATAGGAAATCTAAGGGCCGGACTTATAATTCAAATCTTATTAAGATTATTAAAATCTTTACTAGCTAATACTATAGATTTAATATTATTACAGGAATCTTATAGATTCTATTTCAATTTATTTAGAAAATATATATAGTATATTTCTTTATTTATTCCGATATTTATATATAATTCTTGAGAATTAAACTATTATCGAAAAGAGAAATAAGAAGACTAAACTAATATCTTTGAAAATTAAGGCTTTAATAAGTTTATTTAGAAAAGCTTACTAATTCTTCTAAAAATAATTCAAGAAAAGTTTGAATTTATTATATATTATAACTTATATAATTAGAAATAAAAACTATTCTAATAGGCTAAAAAGAGTTTCTTATATAGCTTATTTATATAACCAGAAATAGAGACTTGAGTTTATTATATAGAATTATCTATATATAAAGACTTCTATTATAAACTCCTTATTTGGATTAATTAGTTAAATCTATTTTTAATACTAAGTCTTTATTAGAGTAACTTCCCGCTCCTAGAAGCTTTAGATAGAATAGCTAATAAATTTCTTAGCTATTAGCCAAAACTTATTAGCTAGAAAATCTATAAGTAATAGATAAAATTATAAAATAGAACTCCCCTAATTATAATACTAAAACATTTTATTATAGTATAAAGTAATTAGATATAAAAGCCCTATTAAATATAATATATCTCAAATTACAAGTTTATAAAATAGATATAAGGAATTTTAATATTTAACTAGTATTATAGTCTAGCCCGAAGGTATTTATTATCCTTTATATCTAATTTAATAGAAATAAGAAATATTTATATTTTAATTCGAGAAATAATTAGAACTTTTATATAGATTTAGAATAGTAGTTTGCTTTATAGAGAAAGAATAGACTAGAAATACCTATATTATATTAATTTTTAGAAAGAATTATAATAAATACTATAATTCCTAAAATACTTTTAAAAAAGCTTTCCCGAACTAAAATAGATTAGTTTATAATTCTAAAAAATCTATAGGAGTTTTATATATTCGAGAATATAAGTATTTAAGGTAAATACTATTTGAATTCCAATTTATAATAAAAGAAAAATAAAATATATAAAATAAAATATATAAAATAAAATATATAAAATAAAATATATAAAATAAAATATATAAAATAAAATATATAAAATAAAATATATAAAATAAAATATAGAAAATAAAATATATAAAATAAAATACCCGGATATTTAATAAATAGAAAGCCTAACTATAGGTTATAAGAACTAGTACTAACTAGATAAATATATAATAATATTAAAGAAAAAGTAAGATAAAGAAAACTAAAAAATAAGTTAATATATATTTTATAAAAATAAATAAAGAAATATCTAAATAGCCTAAAAGCAAGAAATATATATTAAAAGAATCGAGATTAGAAAAAGAAGAGCTATTTCTTATAAAAATAAATTAGTATATATTCTAAAATAAAGAATAGAAATATTTAGTAATAGTCTAAAGGCTTTTATAAGTATTAAAAGAGGAAAGGAAGTATTAAAGTTCGGAGGAATCTAAATAGGAATTAGCCTCTTTTTTAGAAATTTGAGAGAGGATATTCCCAAAGAACCTAAAGATATAAAAGATATTAGAAAAAGAGAAAAAGAGATATTAGAAAAAGAGAGAAGGGATCTAAAATTTAGCTTTCTAAAAAACAAGTAAATTAAAGACTTATAATATAGAAGTTCTGAATAAAAGTAACCCGGAAGTAGTAGTTAGGTACTAGCTTTTAATATTATTAGTAGAAGTATTAAAAGAAAAGGGGTTCGGAAGAGGGGTTTAGAGAAGGAGTTCGGAAGAGGAATTTAGAAGGATTCGGAAAAGGAGAGAAAGGTTATAAAGTAGTTAGATACTAGCTCTTAATATTAATAGAAGAAGTATTAAAGAAAGAAAGATTTAAAAAAAGGGTTTAAAAAAGAAGTTTAAAAAAGGGATTTAAAGGAGTTTAAAAAAAGAAAAGAAGGTTATAAGGTCGTTAGATACTAGCTTTTAGTATTAATAGAAGTATTAATAAAGGTATTAATAAAAGTATTAATAGAAAAGATATTAATAGAAAATAGAAGTTCTTAATATTAATAGTAAAGTCGAAAAAATATAGAAAAAGAATAAAGGTTTTAAAATAAAAGTAGAATAGAATTATAGTTTTATAGAAAATAAAGTTATTAATATAGAATAGTTATATTATTATATAATTCTATATTTACTTTTATTATTTATTAAAAATATATATCTTTTAGGAGAAAGTATTATTTAGAATTTTTAAGTCATTTTAATTTAATAATTATATATTTAAAAAATAAGAAATAAATATAATTATATATATTAGAATAAAGGAATTCTTTTTATCTAAAAATTATAATTATAGTATTACTAAATATAAAGATATAGAAATTTATATAATAAGCTATATATAAAGATTTAAGGAAATTTAAATTACCTTAAATTATTTATAATTAGTAAAATAAATCAGCTAATTATATAAATTAAATATAGTTTAATTATTATTAGTATATTTTGGCTTTTATAAATTAGTAAAAAAAAAAAAAAATTATTTTTATTTTTATAACTATAATATCTAAAATTATAATTTTTTTAATATTTAAATATATTTAATCTAAAACTATTAAATATTAATATTTCTATTTTCAGGTATTATTTATTATAAATTTATTCGGATTTAAATAATTATATTAAATATATATTTTTATATTCTAAAAATAAATAATAAAGATATAGCTATATTAGCTTTAATCTTAGCCTTAACCTTAATCTTAACCTCTTTCCGAAAACAACTTTAATTCTAATATATAATATTATTATTAAAGCTTTCTTTTATTAAAGATATATTAAATATAGCTTTAGGTAATAGCTCTAGTAAAGGTAAAAATAATAGAAAAGATAATAAAGCTATAAATAAGCAGAAAAATAATATTTATAATATATTCTCTAATAATTCAGATTTAGTTTATAATATCCTTTTTTATTAATATATTTAACTAATAAACCTTTTTATTTTTCGACCTTTTTCTTATATATAACCTTTTCTTTTTCCTCTATAATAATACTTTAATCTCTTTATACTATCTAATAATATTATTAAAGTAGTAAAGCAAATTAATAATAAGACTAAAGTTAGAAAGATAGAGCTATATTAGAGTAAAAAGCTAAAGGAATTAGAGAAAAGTAAGATAAATCTAAAAGCAAGCTTAATATATATTTATAGAACCGAATTCTCTTAAGCTTATACTATTTATAGTAATAAAAAGAGACTAAGGGGTCCTTTCAAATACTATATAGTTATAAAAGGCAAATTTAATAATACTTATATAAATTATAGATATAATAATAATAGTAAAGTCTATATTTTCTATTAACTTAATACTAATTCTACTAAGTCTGGAAAGCCTTATTCTGTATCTATAAAACCCTTTATACTAAAGCCTTAACCGCCTATAAGATATAGAAAGCAAATATAAAGACAGATATAAGGTCAGAAGGCAATAGGGAAGGAGGTTATAGTAGAGGAAGGTAAGAATACTAGAGGAGAAGGGAATAAAGGAGATATAGATAATTCGAGTAATATAGGTAGTACGGAGGATATAGAGAGTAAGGGAGATAGAGATATGCCTCGTAATCCATGGGATTTGCCTTACGGACTATATAAGCTAAGGGGGGGTTAGGAGTAGTCGAGAATAAGGCGTATATACTATACTTTTTTTTTTAGTAAGGTGTGGTGGGTACGAAAATCAGAAAATCAGAAAATCACTTTTCGCTTCTCGGATTTGTCCGCTAGCCCGCTAATGGCCTCAGTAGAATGGCTGGAGTATATATGAGGATTTTGTGTTTGTGCCCTGATCAGTCTCCAACCAGAATCGTCCATCCCTCCGTCAATTCGAAGTGGCAACAATCACAGGCTAACTTCATACCGATACTCTCTCTACCTCTAAACCTACCAAAGCCCCCCAGCCCCTCTTTCAACATGGCCGCACAGCAGAACTCAACGCCTTCCGTGCACCATGCGCTTCTCCAAATCATAGTCCCAGATTCCAGCATGACTTCATCAATCGAGAAATACACTACGGCAGTCATCCCCGTCTCTGTCGGTATGGACCCCCAGGATCTCGAGATACAGCTTAATTTGCTATTCCAAGATGATCTGTTTGGGGTCAAGAAGCAAATACCTAATCGTGAAGTCCACTTCGCCATTTGGAGTATCCGTTGGAATGATGTATGGGTACTCCCGGATATGGTGATGATAAAAAGGCTAGATTTCGAGAGAGGATTGGCATTGATGCAAGCAAGAGGTTGGAGGGATACACTGGTGGTTCGTTGTGAGTTGAAGAGAAAGGGATGAACAAACAAGACAGCATCACTGCAGGCGAAGGAAGGAAATAGTGGTGGCGGATTAGGCAAAATCAATGGTTCATCACGAAGATAGTATGGAACAGCGAGGTTTGGAGGAAAGAAACTCAGCCTTCGTAGATGGTTTGGAGTCTTAAAGCGGCTGATATGGACAAATCTTGTCTTTGTACATATAAATCATGCCCGGTTTAGGCAATTCGTTCTTTTCGAAGCCGTTCATGGCTTCCCAGGCAGTGCTCAAAGAATTTTGTAACATAAATGGAGGTATCATTGAGCAGGAGAGAGGTAATGAGTGGGGTGATGAACCAATAGGTTCTCGCAACAGTGGCCTCCCCAAAAGACTCTGCCTTATTCCATGTCAGACAGTGAGCTCAGATGAAGTAGAGTACAGTACACCAATCCCTTTCGTCGCATAAGCCAATTCAAACTACTTTTCTTCTGAGGTCCATGCGGAAGCATCATATTCATCCATCATCTTGACAAATGCCTCGCCAGCAGTGGCCCAGCCCTTGATTCCTCCCTCCAGAGCGTAACTTTTCATTTTGGTGTCGTTCTGGTCCTGAACATAATCAGAGAACCAACCAGCAGCTCGCGATCCACGCCCCCTTGATGACCCTTCACAAGACATCAGTTTGACGTTGGGTGGCCAATCTGAGGAGTCAATGGAAGACCTACCACAAAACCAGATCACACTGGCAATTCCTGCGTTTGAGAGCAGGGTATACAAAGCAGGAATAGTGGGATACAGAGATTGAGCAGGCAAATTAATCGATCCATGAATGGTTCCTCCCTGTAAAATATTTTAAGCAACCGAACGGGCCATGCAAAATGGATCTCTCGAGAAAGACTTACCTCGAAGTCAGTTCGGCGTAGGTCAACTAGGATGAAGTCTTTTCCGGCGATTTTTCCCTTTTCCATCCACGAAAGCAATGTTTGTTTCGTGATCCACGAGGCAGAATTTCTCTGAGCGGGGTAGGCAGCATACCAAGGTTTTGGTTGCTCCTCGTCGACAACAACCTGGGGGTCGGTACTCATTATGAAGTAGTTGATTGAAGAAACTGCTGGAGCGGTTAAACTTGGCTGAGATTCTGAGATTTTGCCGTTGATACAGTGTGTAAAGTGATACAGTATCAGAGAGCTGCCGCAAAAAAAATGGATGAACGAGAAGGATGTGGGTACCAAACAGAAGCTCTCGACAAGACGGAAATATCAGGACGGAGAGAGAAAGAAATAAAAAGATTCTGATGGATTTAGTAAGCAATTCACGTAATCCGCGTTGTCCTAACCATTCCGTAGACCCCAGAATGTACGGTGGTTTTAATTCATTGAGTGGGTGAAAACGAGGACCAGTCTCGGGGGGAGCAGAATTCGGAGACGAAAATCAGGGGAGAGTGGAATGTCACTCGCTTAGAGCGGGAGGGATGTCACTTCCCGCCCCCCATTGGCTGGGATTCTCTCGGCAAACCTCTTTTTGCGGCAGGGGCGAGCGGTCCACGCCAAAATGACATTATCATGACTACTCAGCCTTTCCATGCGGATATTTTTTTTCTTCTCTACTTTTAATCAGGTTTTAATGTATATAAAGACTTGAATTGTTCTGGGTGTTCTTTCCCGCATCACGTTCAAAAGGTTTGCTACTCACATTATCGGCCCTTTTACAGTAGCATCTTCGCCTGGCCTAATCAACTGCCACACCCAACTTTCTCTTCTCCTGGAAATCACAACTACCAACAAATCAACCACTTCACACCCCAATGGCTCCCGGAATGCCCCTCGAAGTTCATTCTCCAGATATTCCCCAAAGCAAAGAGAAGCCTGACTCGGATTTGACGCGGGCTCCTCCTTTGGAACCGGACGTGGAGCAACAATCAACAAGCGATTCACCAGACCCACACGCGGCAAAGACCTCTGCTTTCAAAGGCTTAGGGCTTCTGGACCGATTCCTCGCAGTATGGATTCTCCTCGCCATGGTCATTGGTATCATCCTAGGGAACTTTGTCCCAAATACGGGCCCTGCTCTGCAGGAGGGAAAGTTTGTCGGGGTCTCGATTCCTATCGGTGAGCTTCAACAATAGATTGCTAAGAGAAAGCTTTACTGACAGAATTTTTTACGTACAGCCGTTGGATTGCTCGTAATGATGTATCCGATCTTGTGTAAAGTTCGATATGAAACTCTTCACCGAGTTATGCAAGACCGCAAGGTTTGGGTGCAAATTGGCTTCAGCATCGTTGTCAATTGGATCGTTGCGCCACTTATCATGGTAAGAAGATCTCCCATTTATATTTTATCCACCCTTTCTACTTACCACTGCTAACCGGTAAAAGCTTGGTCTTGCCTGGGCCTTCCTTCCCGACAAACCTGGCCTCCGCGAGGGCTTGATTCTCGTCGGTCTCGCAAGATGTATAGCTATGGTCCTGATCTGGACGGGGCTCGCTGGTGGTGACAACGAATACTGTGCAATTCTTGTGGCCATCAACTCAATGCTGCAGGTGGTTCTCTTCGCCCCTCTTGCGATTCTGTATCTGCGTGTTATCAGTGGGGCCGACGCCAAAGTGTCCTACGAAGTCGTGGCCAAATCCGTTGCCGTCTTCCTGGGCATTCCTCTCGCCGCAGCCATCACAACACGATTCACACTCCGCAAGTTTATGAGTCCACAATGGTACGACACTGTGTTCATCAAGTTCGCCAGCCCTTGGTCTCTCATCGGTCTCCTGTTTACGATTCTCGTGCTATTCGCTTCTCAAGGACATCAAGTCGTGCATCAAATCGTTTCAGTTGTCCGAGTCTCAGCACCATTGATTGTTTACTTTGCAGTCCTATTCTTTGTCACTTTGTTAGTGACACACAAGTTGGGTTTTGGGTACAAACTCGCTGCAACCCAGAGTTTCACGGCAGCAAGCAACAATTTTGAGCTCGCTATCGCGGTCGCTATTGCGACATATGGCCCAAACAGCGACCAAGCATTGGCTTCTACTGTGGGGCCGCTTATTGAGGTCCCTGTATTGTTGGGATTGGTCTACGTTGTGAAGGAAATTGGACGGAGACGAGGGTGGAAGGATTGAAGGGGGGTCGAGTCCAGCGTCAGATTCGGGACGCAAACATCGCTCACTGTCATGATAAATATTGTAATAATTGATAGATCTCACTGAAATCGGAATGAAATAACAAAAACAATACTCCTCGTATCAGCTCGCCTTTACAGCATATATGTTAGAACCTACCCGGTCTAAGTATGTGGCACTCTTCGAATCAGAAGTTGGGGAGGATCGCAGTGCTTGGAGGACTGACCAACCCACCATTGAAGTCAAGGTCAGCAAATTGTCTCGTAATATTACCCATTTCAGCTTGATGAAAATGGTCTTCTTTTTACAAATGAACAAACGAGCTTCAAATGGGGCACGAGCTTTAATATGAAGCGAACGCTTAAATCCACCACTTCACGATTTTCACAGTATGTCCTCATACCGCAACCATCTGAAAGAAGAATAGCCCCCAAAAAACTCATGACACTAATTTCTCTGTATTCTCACTCCACCTTCATCTTAGAACAGAGCACGCGGATTCGTGTAATTCGGCGACCACGACTGAACCACGTCCCAATGCTCCATAATGCATGTCCCATCGAACCTGAAAATATCAATAATAGCTTGGGGATACGCCCCACCCCCATCGCCACGATAATGTAAGAATCCCGTATTACTGGAAAATCCATTATGCATAATCGTAGAATTGAGCGTGGGCCAAATTGTTGTCAGAGCATCGATGGCAATTTGTCGACCCGATGGTGCGAATGGGTTGTGCTGGATATAGCTCAGATCGACGTGAGTGGTGAAGGCGAGACTGACATTCTTCTTAATCCAGAGCTCGTCGACGAATTCGTTCCAGATCTTCGCCTGCTCTTTTTCGCAGGCTGGTTTTGGTGGGCAGTAGGATTTGCTTGTGATGAGATGGAGGAGAGAGAGCGCAAGTGGGAGGAGATTGATGAGTCTCATGGTGTCTGGTTGTGAATATGCTAGAGAAATTAGGTGAATGATTGAGGAACATATATTTCCTCGACTCTTTTGTTCATATAGCCTATATGAGGTGGAGTTGAGATTACTCGGTCAAAAGTCTGGAGATTCCAGGGCATGCCCCTGTAGTACAGGCAGTAGGTCGCTAAAACAACAGGGACTTGTAGGCTGCTTAGCGAGTGTTACGTGGTTAGGACGTGGCGTTTTCTGGGCGCAAATCAACAAAGACACTTCCAGGCACCTCATCCGTTCCGCAGCTGCACCCTTACCCACGATTTTCTGTCAACTTTAAGCTTAAACAGATCTCCAGATAATAATATAAGACTTAGATCGTCATATCGACCAATAATTAACCTTTAATTAGCTCTTCTACCGTTTTTATTTTAGTTTTATAAAGGACCTATAAATTAAAATACTAAATTACGTTACGTTAGAAGATTCGGAGTTTTAATGTTCCGTAACCTTATATTTAAGCGAGCAGCGCAGCTAATGGCAGCGGAACGGATGGGCTAGAAGCCAACCCTCCACCCCTCTATATAAAACGTAGCGCGGCCAGGGTACGGTATACGTCAGAACGGCCGTACCAGCATTGTCACGCGATGTTTTATTTAGGGGGGAGAGTATAATTTTAGTGACTCTCAGCGTGCGACGGGAAAGATTACAGGGCGTTATAGCGCTCAGAAGCTGTAATCTCCAGACTTCTGACCGCGACCTTCGTACTATTAGGCAGGTTTCAAAATTGGTGGCGTGCAGAATGCTTCCCCTTGGCATCCAGGAGATGTTGAATATGAATACTGTAAGTAGTAAGGTCATAATCTTGGCGCCGTTCAACACTGAGGATGAGCTTAAAATAGAGAGCTGCGGCAACTCTTTGCTTACTTGGGGAGGTAATTGGAACTTCCAGGACAATGATTAACCTATTTTGAATTCTATTGAAATACGAGCAATTCCATGGTGTGAAACTCAGAGCCAGAGAAAGGAGGCTGCTGCCCGAAAATTTGAGGAGCGAGAAGTAGTGCCAATTCAAAGGAGGTACCCTGTAGAAGTAAGCTCTCGGTAGAGGAACCACGAACTGCTGGTCTTACAGCTGACTAATCCCGCATGCTTTCCGAAAAGTTGGCCCGTGCATGCACGTGGAGAACCACGTGACTCTCTCTTTTTTGGGGGCATATGTGCATGGCAACTGTGTGCTAGTGGTCACGTGCAGGCTTACATGACCACATTCACTGTATTTAAGCTTTGGCCACCCGTGCCACACCTCCTTTTCCTCTCATCTATCTATATATTCAGTGTGTTAAATAAATAGAGTAAAATAGAATAATAGCCATTACTCTTATTTTAGTCAAGTATAAAACCCGTTACTCTTATTTTATTCATATATTATTCAAGTTATTCATGAATATTCATAAATAACTTGAATAACGCACGTGATCTATTCACGCAATAGAGCTAGCCTAGTCAGGTAAGGCTCCGGGAGGGCACGCACCTAGCGCTACCTCGCTACCCAATCAGGTAGTAATAGCGCTTGGTAAGCGAATTAAACCTTAGTAATACTTCTAGTTTATTATTATAGAAAATTAGTATTTAAATATTCTTATATAAGTACTAGCTTAGCTTATATAAGGCTGCTTAATAGGTATCTTAGTTTTTTTTAAAAAATTTAAATATATATTAATTTATTATAACTATATAACTTATATATAATTATTCTATTTTACTTAACTTATTTAAGTTATTTATAAATAACTTAAATAATTCTTTAATATATTATATATATTATTATTATAATAAAATAATAAAATTTTATTATAATAATTACTTTAGAATATATAAAAGAATATCTTAAATATTATGAGTTTTAATATAATACTATTTTATAATACTTATTAAGCCTTATATAATATATAAATTATTAAGGAAAAAATTAATTAAATTAAAAAGAAAAAATAAATATTAATATAGCTATTTTTTTGGAAGTTATATATATAATTACGAGATACAAGATTCGAGATATAAGTAATAAGATATAAGTAATAAAATATAAAATACGAGATATAATTATATAATCTTATATCTTATTAGTAACTCGACTAGTAAACTAGATTCCTTTAGGCTTAATAGATTTAGGAATTATATATTAATATTATAATATTATAATTCTTACTTCTAAATAATAATAACTTTACTAACTAATATAACTAGTATTTTTATATTTATATAATAGTATTATATATTATTAGTAAACTAATATTAATTAGTTTATATATATAGATTAGAAAAGATTTTAGATTAGTTCTAAAAGTATTTAATAGCCTAAAACAAATCTAGTTTATTTTATATTAAAAAAAGAAATTATTTATTAATTTTATAAAAGCATTTAGTAGCCTATAGAGAAAATATCTAGCTCTTACTAATTAGTAAATAGTTAGCTATTTAACTATCTATTTATTTAATTTCTATTATTTTTTAAAACTAACTTCTTTTAGCCTTAAGACTATCTTTTTAGAAACTATCTTTTCTACTTATATAATACTTATATTTACGGGATTCTCTTTCCGAAATATATATCTTATATATATTCTTAAAGCTCTTTAATTACTATTTCGATTTTATTATTAAATCGAGTTCTTTAAGCTTTAGATTCTTCTAGAATTATAATATTTCATTTTCTAAATTTCTCGTTATAGACGAAATATTTAAAAGCGAAATATTTACTTTAATATTCTACTAGATATCTAATATCTGAACTAGATATCTAGTATTTTAATTACTAGATATCTGGTATCTTAATAACTAGATATCTAGTATCTTAATTAGATATCTAAACTAGATATCTAGTATCTAAACCAGATATCTAAATATTTTTACTACTAAATCCTTTTTATAAACCTATTATAAACTACCTTATCTTTAAATCCCTTCTATTATAAACTATATATATATATATATATATATTAGAGAGAACCTAAACTCGGTTTAGTATAAATACTAATAAGGAAAAGAAGCTAATTAAGAAATAGAAAAATAGTATTAACCCGGTAACTATAATAAAAGCTAAACTTTAGAAATATATAATTACTAAGATATATTAGTATATCTTATATAAGAAGAATAATAATAATTTATAGGATTTATTCTAGAATAACTTTAAAAATTTTAATACTATAGTATATAATCTAATTAACTATATACTTATATAAAATCTTCGAGCCTAATTTTATTATAATAGTATTTATATTAAATAAAACTATAGAAATCTTACTATTATATAATTCTTTATTAATTTTATCTAGAAAAATATAAAAAATATAAAAAATAAAGCTAATATTATTAATAATAGTTTAATTAGAATAGACTTTTTTTAGGAACCTATTATATTAGTTTATTTTATTCTAAATAAAACTAGATATAAGGAAACTAGATAATCTTAATTAAAAAATTAAGCTATTTATTTATCTTTTTCAAATTAAGGCTATTTACTACTTTTACCTTTATTATTATTAGTATTATTACTAAACCCGAACTATTATTAATTAATACCTACTATTTTTATTAGAAAGCTTATTAGGAAAGTAATAAAGATATATTTCGAAATATAGAAATATAATAAAACTAATAATAGTTTTAATTATAAACTTACTATTTTCCTTAATATCTACTAATATATAAAGCTTCTAGAAAAGGTATTAATAAGAGCCTTTTTTATTATATTAAAGGAACTAGTATAAGACTACTTCTATAATAACTAGCTCTTAAGCTATATATAAAAAAAGGCCTATATAAATATTTATAATTTCTTTAAAAGCCTCGATTTCTATTATTAAAATTTAGATAAATAGAATACTATTACCTTAATAACTATAATAATAAAGAATTCTGAAAAAATAATATTTAAGCTTATTTAAATACTAATTAATAACCTATATAAATTATAATATAGCTTTATTTCTACTTTATAAAATACCGAATTCTTATATAATAAGATTATTATTTCTTATTAAGGCTTACTAGTATACTAATATATAATCTCGGATTTTTCTAATAATTTCGGCTAGCTTATTAATAAACTCTAATTATCTATTATTATCTATAAGAAAAAGTAATAAATTATTATTAAAACCTATTTTACTAATTAATAATACTAATTTCAAAACTCTCTAAACTATTATTTATTTAGAAATTATTAATATAAATCTAGTTATAACTTTGAAATCCGTAATAACTATTTCAAGTTCTATAATTATAATAATTATATTCTAAAGTTATATTTTATATATAATAGACCCGAATACTACTTATAGAAATATATATTAGAGAAATAAGAGGCTAAAAAGGCTCGATTCAAGAATAGAAATATTTACTAATTTAGATCCCGAAATATCTATAACTTTAATAAATACTTTAGTAATACTTATATATAGTATATTACTAAATTTAAAGAAGAAGAGAATAATAAAAGTAATAAAAACAAACTAGTAAGTAATACTTTTAAAGCCTTACTAGTAAAAATAAATAAAAGAAAGAAATATTATTCTAATTTCTATTTTACTTTTATTAAAAGCTTTCTAGCTATTTCTATAGCCTCTATTTCTATTATTTCTATAACTAATACCCTTATAAATAACCTTATTTCTCTTTTCCTTATATATTAGATAATAGCTAAAAACTATATTCTAGAGCCTACTAAATAGATAGAAAATATCTAAATATTTATAATTAATAATATATTAAGATATAATACTTATTACTTTTATAAAGTTATAATTAATATTAAAGCTTCTAGATTCTTAACTACTAATTCTAACTAATTCCAAGCTTTATAATAGACTAATAATAATATTAAACTTAATAAAACTATTAAAGATTAAGTTAATATCTAGTTTAGTATTAGATCTATATCTTTTATTAGATCTATAATAATAAGAATACTAATTAGGTAAGTATAATTCTATATTATATCTATAAAAACTCTATTTCTATTT